TTAGACTTTGTCAATTTTTGATATTTTGTACGAGTTTTTGCAGTTTTAAATAAAATATGACTGATATCCCGTATATAAATCAAGCAAACAGTTCCTGCGTCTAGATCCTGTATACAAACCCTGTATATAAATCCTGCTTATAAACCCTCTAAATAGACCCTACTCTATATGCAGAGTCTATATACAGGTTCGTATATTTTTATACAGATCCGAAACAGTTTTTATTTAAGACAAAACAATTTTTTTATAAAAATCGACAAAAGAAGCCTAAAATCACCTAAAATGCAAGGTTTTATCAAAATTCGTCACATCTTTGTTATTTTCCACTCGAATTACATGAAGTTTTTTTCAAAACGACTCATTTTTGACTGGATTTTATGACTTTATCAGAAAAATTAATACAACTGCGAAAACTCATACTTTCATTTGACAAAAAAGATAAAAGAACCTAAATTTGCTTAAATACAAGTTTTTTTTCAAAAGTTTTTTTATATCTTTGTTATTTTTCATCTGAATTACCGGATTTTTGTTTAAAATGATTCGTTTTGGACTGAATGTTATGTTCCTGTCAAAAAATTAAAGATATATATCGTAATTAAGTTAGTACGTGTTGTTAAAGTTGACCAATTTTCAGACAAATAGGTGACATCTATTGGGTGCTTAAAGTGTTAAAAATAGGTTGATACTGAAATCAAAGTAGAGGTTCAACCCTTTAAATCACCGAAAAATAGCCTCCAAATGTTTTAATTTTTTACTCCGTTAGTGTATATTACTTAGGAAAAGTGCTGAAAAGCGTTGTTATAATTTCTGTTAGCTTTTAGTTCTTAGCTATTATCTGACTTTATTTAGTTGTAGTTGTATAAACAATAAAATGTGGGTTTTTTGCACACATTTCTTCCACAACAAATGTACAACCATTTTTTTTCATCAGCAGAATAATTTCGGAATCATATTTGAATATTTTCAAAAGTAATGTAATGTAAGCAAAACATGCTGTTTTGTTCTTCTAAAGAGCGGTACAACAATTTTTTTCTTTCATTACATATTAACAACAATCACACAACATATTTTGCAATATTTTTCATGTTGATAACAACAAAAAGTGTTTAGCTAACTTTAAGCGCGTTGGCCGCTATCTTGAGACATCACAAATTAACTACTATAACATATTTTGTGATATAGCAGCGAACTTCTATTCCTATTTATACCAGGAAAGTAATTCTAAATAGCTAAATAAATACTCATTTGAACCGATTATTCTTATCATATATTTAAAGCTTTTCAACAAACTTATAAGATCTGATGTATATTAGAGTAATTAATTGTTTAACTGAGCTTTCTTATCACGTGTTTAATGTTCTTTGACAAGGCAATAAGATTTGATATATAAAACAAATTTGCTAACATTAATTAAATCGCAGTCAATTTCTGTTTACTCGGGGACATGAAATCTACACAGCCATATACTTTGTTTTGCTCGGGTAATTAATTGTTAAATTAAATTTTCTTATCATATATTTAAAGTTATTTGACAAGTTAATACGATTTGATATATTACACGATTTTGCTGTCAGTAATTAAATCGCACTCAATTTCTGTTTACTCCGGGACATGAAATGTCACAGCCAAATAGATTCTACTTCGTTTTGCTATGGTAATTAATTGTTAATTTAAATTTTCATATCATATATTTAAAGTTCTTTGACAAGCTAATAAGATTTGATGTATTAAACGATTTTGCTGACATTAATTAAATCGCTTCTGCTGTTAGTAATTAAATCCCACTCAATTTCTCTTTTGAAATGTGTTTCAAAAAACTTAACTAATTTATTACCGAAAACTGCAACCATCATTGAAAAAAATCTGAGGCCTAGAAATGGTATTATAGTTACAGCAACTGCGCTGAAAAGCTAAAAATAGGCTCAACAGCTATAAACATAGATGTGCTAACTACATTTTCGTAGTTGGGCCGCATTTTAACTACGGACTGTAGTTACTGGGCTCCACATTTTTTTCTCTGAGTAGACGAATTTACGGATAACGTACCACACGCACACCACTTCCGCCGCGTAAAATAAGGCATTAATTCAAAATAATTCACTTTCGATGCATACACTGACGGAAAAGGGCCGCAGTCTTATCAAAATCAGTAGTGAGCGACCGAAATTCGCATAATCTTCGATATTGCGAAAGTCGTAGAGGATTTCACTAACAAAAATTGTTACAGATTTCTATCCGTGCAGGTTTTTTTAATATATACCTTCATGATCTGTTATTTTGAATTTATATGTTATTTATGATTTCAATAATCAATTAGGCTTATCTAAGAACAATCAATTATTCTACATTTGTTATAATACGGCACTCTTAGAACAGAAATTGTAAATATTTTGCAGCCCTGCTGATCAAGTTGTAAAAGCACTACTTTATTGAGTTAATTTATTGGTAATTAATTAGCAATAAATGGCAAACAAATTTGTGGTAGTTTTAGTTATTTAAGGGAGTAAAAAACACAAATATTTTTCTACCCTGATATCAAGTTAAAAAACACTGCGTTTTTTTAATAAATAGCAATTAAACAAATTTCTGGGCAATTAATTAGCAAAAAAGTTTTTGTAGTTTTTGTAGTTTAAGGAAGTAGAAACCATTAATGTTTTGCTACCTTGATATCAAGCTGGAAAAGCTCTGCGTTTTTTTAATAAATGGCAATTAAATTAATTGTATGGTAATTAATTAGCAATTAAATAGTCAAAAAATGTCCTCGAAGTTTCACTCGGTTTTGCTGTTAATGGCTTTGTAGTTTTATATACCTCCCAGAGAGACCCGTGGAAATGACTTGTTTAGAAAGGGCAAGATAGGCGTTGAAACGGCTAGAGTTCTTGGTCACTGACCCAACAGTTTTGAGCATTTTTCACGTGCGATTAGGCATGCCAAAGTTTATTTAAGTTGAATTTCCAGAAAGATCATTACTCTCCATAGCCGGGGGAGGGCGATTAGTAGCGATGTGTAAAGAGAGTTTGAGACTTTTTGCGCCGGAACTGGAAAATTGCATTGCTCAAATCGTCAAAGCAGGTGAAACGGTAAAATTTGGTGATGTTTTTGAGATCTTGAAACAAAACCAGAATCATTTCAATAGAAGCATAACGATTCTCCAATTCCCAAATCGCGAGAGACTGCTCAGAACTACCGATGTCACTGCAGCCCCTCTGAGGTTATATGTTCGAGTCCCGACGGTGGCAGGACTTTCGACACGAGTCGAAAGGTCAGACGAGTCAGCTAGGTCGAGTTCAGTCGCTGTCTGGAGGAGAATTCTAGCGGTCAGCTGCCCTGATGGGTAGTTTTTCGTGATTTCTCCGATCAATACTATGCGAATGCCGGAGCAGTTCCCTAACAAACGGGCCAAAAACAGCGTGCTATCTTTCGTAACTCTTCTTTGTCCTATTCTCACTCCTTACACACACACTAACATGCACTACTCTACCACACATGCAGGGAGACCGGTTACTTGTTTGGATTTTCATAAGCCTGCATTAGGAAGTTTGAAAAACAGTAGTTTTTACCTGCTGCTAGTGTGTGCACGCAGTGCGTGAATTGGGATTGATGGTTAGTGATTTCGGGCGCGTCAACTGCTGAGGCCATTAGTCCCGTAAGTGTAGTACATGTATTATGCTCGTGATGTGGCTGTGATCTTCCCAGGCTCAATGACGAGATCCGTTGACGACCTACCGTCGGCTAACGGGATTATCCCCAACCGGGTATCTCCTACCCGCGGGGCACCGTCCCACCCGGGACGAGCTCTAAGCTCCCAGCCGGCCTCCTGGCATGTGTGGTAGTGTGGTGCATGTCTGTCTGTGTGTGTGAGTGAGTGAGAGTGAGAGTGAGTGAGTGTGAGAGTGAGTGGGTGTGAGAGTGAGTGGGTGTGAGAGTGAGTGAGTGTGAGAGTGAGTGAGTGTGAGAGTGAGTGAGTGTGAGAGTGAGTGTGAGTGTGAGAGTGAGTGTGAGAGTGAGTGTGAGAGTG